TTATGTTGCTGCCTTATGATAAACTTCTTTAAATTACTTTTTTTCCACATCAATCTACACTCCATACAATGAATCCATACTGACAAAGCAAAAACAGAATTGTCACAACTTCATACCTAAATGAGGGTTTAATGAGGGTATTTAGCTGAAGCACCTTAATAGCCTCAAGTCTTTTTTTGTTTGATGCGACAAGCTTTGCTCATCAGCATTTTGCAATTATCTTCCATTCTTCACCTCACCTGTTCACCTCTCAAGCTCTATCAGGTTGGATGGGAGCAGATGCACATTTTCAGGTTTCTCCAGAAATATTTGATTGGGTTCAATCCCAGGCTCTGGCTGGGCCACTCAAGGACATTCACACAGTTGTCTATAAGCCACTCTTGCTGTGTGCTTAGGGTCATTGTTCTGTAGATAAGGGTATGAATACTTATGCAATGGAATCATTTTAGTTTTTTGCTTTTAATAAATTTGCAAAGATGTTAAAAACCTGTTTTTTTGCTTGACAATTATGGTGTATGGAGTGTAGATTGTTGTGGAAAAAAACTAATTTAAAGCCGTTTAACATAAGACAGCAACAAAACAAAAGGTGAAAAAAATGAAGGGGTATGAATACATTCGCAAGGCACTGTATATATATAATGTTGATTCTCTTTCATACTCTTCTATTCCTTTATGTCCACACTGGCCTTTTAAGCAGTTCCTCATGAACCAGAGTCGCACTGTCAGGACGCTGAACAAGGGTTTGCAGACCTCAGCTAGTATTTGCTCTGTAGCCTGTGCCATCCACACCACATCCATCTCCAGTTCCCATGAAATCACGCTGCTTAGATCAGGCTGCTGAATCGGCTACTTCCAGACCGAGGCTCTCTCCATCTCCCATCTCCTCGGATTTCCCACACCTTCATCCCCCTCTCCCTGCTTCTCAGCATCAGAGTAAATCACACCCATCCAGCTTCCCACAAGGCCGTACTGAGATGGCAGCATGAGGACAAATTTTCATGAGGCCTAAACATTATCTTCTCCAACTCTGGTTTTTATAGGGAAGAACTTGTGTCCATAAAGAGGGGGAAAAACAGAACCTCTCGAGACCGACATAAAGTTTAACAGAGAAAAAGAAATTGCGGTTTGGCTTCTGTCTGGCTGGGGTCCTGCGTTTCAGAAGGCCTCCCTGTCAAAGCTATGGTAGAAACAGCTCTTTTGCTGCTTCAGGGAATATCGTGTTAAGAGAGCCTGCTCAGCTGTAGACGGGTGTAGCACTTTGAAATAAAGAGGTTGAAAGTGAGAGAAATCGCCCTGGCTCGAGGTCCATTAGTTAGAAGAAGCTGTCTGTCAGGGCTCATGTGTTGTTATTCCGTTCGTTTCTTCCTCCTTGAGTGGGGCTCCAAAAAACTCACCACCAGAACATCCAGATATTTCAGTGCTCTGCAATTACAGTTAGAGTAACAAAGTCAAGCTAAATTGATTTACGGGAAGATATTTTTGGTCGTTTGAAAGAGTCCAGTCATTGTAAAACTAGCCCACAGCCCCTTTGGCTCTTCTACGTTTGCAGGCACATCCAGATCCAGCGTTCTCCTTCCAGACTCGGTCTGTGCGTTATTGTTGGAGCATAACTCAGTCTCCATTACCTCCCATTAATGGCTTAATTCGCTGTTTCTTTTTAATCTACAGGGCAATTCAGCCTTTTACAGATAGCATCTTAAAGAGCTTGGATGAAAGCAGCTCGGGAGGAGGCTACAAGTATTGCTTGCAGGAAATGTGGAGCAAGCGAGGCCAAAAGCAATATTTAGCTGCTGATTTTAAACTCCTGTGCACTGTATCACTTATTATGAGCAAGCGTGCGCTGTAATAATGATACCCATGTTTGGAGACCAACATTCCTGAGAAAGGGCTATTTTCAGAGAGGGTGCAATGCAATTCGGTGCACGCAGCACCTGTGCACTTTCATCCGTTCTCTCTCTTTTTCTCCATCCTCCATTACTTCCTTTTAAAGAATTGATGAGTTTCTATATTAGATCTGTTAGCAGCACATATTAAGTTTTTCTCTTGCATAATGTAAAGGAGCATAAAATATGCATATCTTTCTCTCTCAGGTATGGAAGAGAATGTCTGTCTGCCGTCGGCCCCTCGCTGTCCCGATTCTTGCTCATGCTCGGACACAGTGGTGCGCTGTAGTAACCGGGGGCTGCGTTCGCTGCCTAAGGGTATCCCTAAAGATACAACTGAAGTGTGAGTTTCTCCTTCCAGCTCCTTCCTGTCATGTTTTCATCTTTTTCAGTTTAGTTCAGTGGCGGCTTCAGACCTTTTTTCTAAGATTGATTCTGAGATGGGTCACTCTGATTGTATGAGAGTCAGTGAGTTGTTGCACAGTTAAGGTGTCAGTCATAATCTACTGAACCAATCAGATGAAGAGTGAGCACAGCGCCTTCATGGAACTGCTGACACTGCCGTTTAAACTCGATAAGAGCGGCTCATACTCATACTTAGAGAAAAGGGATAGATGGAGAGACAGGGAAGCAATAGAACAAGACGACAGTGACTAAGAGAAGAAAAGAAATGCAAACAAGTGACAAGGAGAGACTGATGTAACAAGCGGTTTTAATGGCGAGTGTGGTGAACAGAAATATCCTGCCTTGACGCTGTCAGTTTTTCAGCAGAAGGACAGTAATTGTTCTTGGGTTGTACAGGAAAACTCCAGCAGGATTGACCTCTTCTCCTGTGTCGTAGTTTTGAAGACAATACCAAGAGTAAATTTTGTAGATAAGCAATCCCAGCAGCTACACTTCAGCTACACTAGACAGCAAGGCAGCTCACTGTAACTCCTCTACATCTAGAGCCGCTTTGTGGTAATAAGTCTATTTCTTCTGATGTAAAATTGATTTTTAAGCATGAAATGAAATTTTAAATGAATCTGGTTTTACTTTATAGCTTGTTTGAGGACTGTAAACTTGCCTGTTAACAGGATTTTTCTTACCGTTTCAGATACTTGGAAGGAAACCTTCTCACCTCCGTGCCCAAAGAGCTTGCTAGTCTGAAACAACTGACACTGCTGTATGTATTTCTCCACTTTTCATTGAATATATTAATTTGCCACACGCTATTATCCAAAAGGACCCACTATGCATTTAATGCCTTCATTTGTATGTTTATTTTAAGTATACAGAATTATTTGTATTTCCAAAGCTGCAGGAATTGTTACGTTTTAGGAAATCTGAGATATCGTCTCACATTGTAAATAATATTAATAATAATAAAAAGTTTGTAATTTTTACAGAAAAAAAAATGTAAAAATGCTACAGTAAAAACCTGTTAATTGTTTTAACTGTAAGTTACCTTAGGATATGGTGAAGAATTGTAAATGGTTTAAAATTGCATGTTATGAAATTTAACTGTAAAATTAAACTGTCAAAATAACTAAAATACTATAAAATTAAACTGTCAAATTACTGTAAAAGCTATGAATTACTGTGTAGTTTACAGTTAAAAACATGAAAAACAACTTTCCCAGTAGTCTCTGTGTGACACATACCAGTTTTGTGTTTTATTTAAATAATTTTATGCTTTAGTTAACGTTTATTGCATTGTTTAGTGTCTTGCGCATTACCCTGATGCTGGGTTTGTGTGTGTGTGTGATTGTGAGCATATGCACCATTTATATATGAAAATCAGCCATATTTTATAGACAAGCCACTTATGATGAACTCACCGTGTGACTTTGTATTAGCATGTGTACTTAGATGGTAATTATCAGTAATTTTTTTAAGGTATACAAAGCATTTTTTGGTGCTTTAAGTATCTTGCAATAACATTCAACCTTTTAAGGAAATATAATAAGTTGTAAAATATGCCAACATGCCATCCCATAATCCGTCAAATATTATAACTGAGTGAGTTTCTGGCAAGCACAACTGCCTTTTTTTCTTTTTTTTTTTGCAGTGTACGGTTTAGTTTTTATGCATGTTTGAAGTCATTAGTTAATAACCTTTATTTAACCAGGATGAAGTAACTGCGATTAAATCTCTTTTCTAAGAGTAAACCCAGCTTTGGATTGTGAAGGCATGTTGTAGACATTCTTCTGAGGGTGTGTAATTGAATCTGCTGTGTGTTTGTGTGTGTTTCCTCTGCAGAGACCTCAGTAATAACAGCATCAGTCTTCTTGCCCCTCTTACCTTCAGCAACATGACGCAGCTTGCCACCCTGTAAGTTTACACCATCATCCAACAATCAGACACAGTTTCTGTGTCCACATCTGAGTTTGTCAGTGCCGTCATGTGAACTTGATCACTACTACCAAAAATTTGGGCAGAAATGTTGACATTAAATGACTGTTTCACTGTCTTTGTCTCTGTGTCTCACTCATATTCGCTCTCTCTTTCTCTGCAGTATCCTGAGCTATAATCAAATTCGCTGTGTCCCGGTTCATGCATTTGATGGCTTGCGTTCTCTCCGCCTGCTGTAAGACTCCCTTTTGCTTTTT